TTCAAGTAGAGTACAAAGTAATTCTATCTGAACAGAGTCATTTAGCTGAACACTCTTCCTATCATACTTACAGCAGCTTTGGACTGAGCCAAACTTTTCCATGCAGTTGTCAGCTCTGACAAAGAGGAAGAGAATAAAAATCCATTATGACACGTGAGAATCTCCTGCTATGCAAAAAAACACGAAACATCGAAATTGTGAATTTCAAATTAAGTAATTATAATAACTGAGAATAAACATTACTACAATTTTACTAGAATTTATTACACACCTGTCCCAATATTATGATCGGTGACAGACACCTTAGTCCTCCTGCTGCTCCTCATCTCTTCCATTCACCTGTACCCAAAATTAAACAGGCAAATAATTAAGAAAAATTTGAAGGTAAAGACAAATGAGAGATCAACAGAAAAATGTATAAAATGTATCAATCTCGTACTATTCCAGAACGATCTGCAGACAAATGAAGTGATATATCACAATCAGGTAATACCGAAACAAGGAATAACAAACACAAAAAGCATTAAGCATTTTCAAACAACAAATTGACTTGGACAGAAAAAAGTGTTAGACAATAATAAGAGTGTTAGACAATAATAAGAGCGAGCTTCAACTCACGCCAGCCCGTTGACAGCAGATTATTTTCACCCTGCCATTTAAAACAGGTTCTACAGCAGAACATTCCTCAATAGATTTCTATGAGAAGACTGTGACACGTCAGCCATGTGATGTTTACTTTAAACACCTGCAAAGCTGAGTACAAGAGTGTGGTCCCACCTAGAAACTGCTCTCCTAAAGCCAGGAACAAGTGTTTGGTTCTACTTAGGAAAAAGTCTCCCTGAGTAAACACTGTGTTAGTTAATCATATCACCTTTAACATTCTGTGAGTCATAAGTAGTTTCCCACAAGTTCTTTAGGAGTCAAACTTACTCATATAACTATCACATGACACAGCCCTGAGGTGATCACATCACACTGAGTGCAAACAGGAAGGAAACTAATGTTTCTGCATCAGCAGCATTTCTTAGCAACAGCGCTCTATGTTAACTCATAGGTATACACCAATGACTTCCACATACACCAATGAGCAAACCAGATAGTGTTAATTGAATTATGTTTACCAAATCTGACAGCAGACATACTAAACATTTGGTGAGAGTTTATATCCAACTCTACTTTGCACAATCCAGTCTCTAGTGTTGACTTACAACATATTGCACAATCCCTCCCCTGGTGCTTATAGTATATTTTTTTACATTTAATTTGTTTCATATTTATAAATATACACACTTGCACATACACAACAGCAAGTCCCTTGTATGTGAAAACCTGCTTGGCAATAACACCCGATTCTAACATAATGTAACGTTAAATGTAATGTTATTAAAATTAAGACTATGGATTTAAACTTTAGAGTGCAGACGCCACGACACTTCCATGTAAAAAGCCAAATAATCGTCAGTAAAGAATGTTTGTACAGACAAATGCTCTGATGTTCTCTCCAGTCGTCAGCTGATTACCAACCAAAGAGTCTTCAAGCAGCAAGCTTGATCCCGGACCGTAGCACCGTACACCGGTTTTCTGTTGCTTTCGTTTTTGTAAAGTTCAATAAAAACCAAAAGTATTTCGAGTTTAGAAACTTGTCAGGAGGGAGGTGACGCCACCAGCGACATGTCAGGGGACGACAGGACCAAGGCAGGAGAGCGTTGAGCGACAAAAACCCCACAAGTTTTGCCGGTGGAGTCCCGAGTTCTGTCCATTAAAAGCGAATACCTACAATCCAAGATGGCTAATCTACTTCTTTGCTCCAATAACAGCAGGAGTAGCTCATGGCTGCCACCTATGTGTGGGCGCCACATTTCAAACCCATGAGTGTAGAGACTTGTGTTAAAACTGGGGATCATCGGAGTCACCACAGCACAAACAGCTGCTCCACACACAGCTCAGGGAAGCGAAGAGAAACGTCACTCTCTTCACCGTGAAGAGATGAAGACTCGACACCGGTTCTATTGACATCACCTTCAATCACCTCCTCCTCAGCGAATTAAATCAATCTTTTGTAACTTCACATCCACATGACGTCACAGTGATGTCCCCGGATACGTCCCCGACAAGTTAAACTCTCGATCAGTCATTTAATATGTTTTTAACATTAACAGAGAGGCTGGAATAAGTCGTTTCACCCCGATGAAGGATCTGGATGTGTAAAGGGGATAATCTGTCATTGGTGCTGTTACTATTAAGCACGTCCATCTATTATGAGACTTAATTCAACAGCAGGTCATGTCTGTGCAACTCATATCACAGAGAAATAAGCTGTGAGGGGCTGCGACTGAAACACCGTGTCCAGGAAATACTCACAACACAATCCATCGTTTATCTACTTTCGGGTGTGAACCGACAACCTTTGTATTCTTATCTTTTCTGGACCTGACTGTTATTTCGCACCACCTCAACTTTTTATTATAACCATGTTTGCTTTTCTGGCGCAATCGCTGCATGTCAAAAGATTGTGTCTCCCACTCATTTTAACATCTGACTTCGAGATGGCTTGTTTCCAAATGCTTTCGATCCAGGGAATAGTCGGGGCCGCCGCCAACTCGGGAGTTTGTCAACTAGTCACAAACACCGCTTTTACGAGACATAACACGTACCTTTAGTGAAGCGATCCCAGGTGTCTAAATGTCCACATTCATGCTGATGTCCTCATGATAACTTCCTAACTTCTCCGGGCTGCTTCAGTTTCGATCAGCTGTCTGTTTGCTAACGTTAGCGTTAGCCGGCTAACGTTAGCAAACCAATGCTAGCTCGCAGTTGTGCCAACTAAGCTAGCAACTTTTTCTAGCGACATGCAGCCATTGTTGTCGTCCCGGCGAGTGTCCTGGTGATCGGGTTCAGAGCTCAGACGACACACGCCGAGAAGGAGGTGTCGCTACCCGCCTCTGAAGTTACCTTTCCCGGGTTACTGTTGATGTTTCTCAACGGAGAAACTGGAGTATCCAGGACGGGTTAATCACTGAGACACCGAGATATCGCGAGAGTTGGACGACGTCAAATATCGGGAAGGCCCCCACCCCACACATACACACACATAATAATAATACTAATACTACTACAACTTTATTTGTATAGCGCCAAATCATAATATACATTTTCTCAAGGCACTTTACATAGAAGGTCAAGACCTTAAAATCACAACAACAACAATACTAATAATATATGGTATAATATATAACAACATGTCGATCACCACACTCATAGATTATTATTATTATCAGAATCAGAATCCGAAATAGTCTATTAAGTCACTGCATCAGCATGAATTTAAAACATTAAATACAGGATATTTACTGNATGATGGAGGACATGGAGACCAGGTGATCCTGCAAAAGTCCCTGAACGAGGACTCCTCCAGCAGCACTGCCGGCCCAGCCAAGGAGGGCAGCCCTGCTGGGATTAGAGATGAGAAGCATTCYTTCTCRCAGACCACCACCATCACCAGGGCAAAAAAAAGAAAAATSAATGCAGGGTGTGGCAACAGGTGGGTGTTTGAAATATCTCCCTGTCTTGAACATTTGATATTGCACTAGAGCTGCAGCCAAGTGCATTTTTAAAAATGTCAAACCACTCCTTTAAGATCAAGAGCTAAACTATTTTCTTATCCACATCGCAGACCAGAAGACTCCCAAGCCAACATCAGGAGTGAACRACTGGCAGCCACTGGAAAAGGCACAAGTGGCCAAACAAGCCCTCTAAAGTCCCAGAGGAAGAGAAAAAGGCATGATCCCACATCCAGTGGCAACCCCTCAAAAAAGAAGAGAAAGGTGGGCCTCAAAAAAGAGCTGAAAGACAGGGGCAACAAGTCAGAGGCTGCCCCCTCCAACTCAGGCCAGGTTCATTGCCTCAAGAAAAGGAAGAGGGACAAAGAGTCGCCAGAGTTGGACAAATCCTGCCCAGGGAAGAGAAAGAGGGTAAAACTTGGCTGTAGAGAACTCAAGACTGGAGTGAGGAGACTGAAAAAAATTATTTTTAATTTATTTATTTTGAAATGTTGCCTTAACGTTTTCCAAACAGTTTGATACTGATTCAAATGACATAAAGAATTTGTCTGAAAAGTCATGATTAAACTTGTAATTCTAAAGGGAGCACAAAACTCTTTAGAGGCCTGCTGATAGATTTACCTTCGTGTTCGGTTCCCTTCTAACTCCACTACTGCTGGAGTAGAGTTATGAGAAATTGTCACAAAATATGTTGAAAAATTGTGAATAAACTACAAATATTTCCAAACTTTTCTACAACACTGAGATTTCCTTTAATACAGCAGAAAATTCCCACATGAAACAGCCTATTCAACTAAGACATTTGTGACATAAAAATAAAAAATGACCTTCAACAGTCCTTTCCCCAATTGGAGACATACAGGTGACTGGAGTCTATCTACAAAGCCATTATTACATTGAAGGGACTTAAATCCAGCATGTAATTAAGCACCTTGTTAATTCCAGATAATCATAAGAAATCATTCCAGACCTTATTCCTCCAAATAATCCAACAAAACCATTGAACAAATCTATGCAGATGTATGGTTTCATTATTAAAGTAGTGTTTTTAATCAGGTTTTTGAAAAAATAAAAAAATTGCAGGAAGCCCAGGTGATCCTCCTCCTTTGACTCTACAACTAACTGGGGTTGCTGGACTTCTTACTTCTTCATGATTCACTGACCAGCTCCATTGGTCAAGTACACTTCTTGACATTTTAAAGTATTTTTTTATTATTTTTACAAAAACCCACAAACAAATATTTCATTTAAGTATTTTACTGCAATCATTTTGGAAACACATCAGCCAAGTTAAATTCAGTTGTCCTCAGGCTCAGGTCACCATCAACCCACAGAATCTGAAAAAGATTAGAAGCAACTTTGTTTTAATATCCAGAAAAACAAAGTATTTGATATCACCACAACTCAGACATAATAACTTTATCAGGCCTGTACTCACCTTATGAATAAAAACATCAGGCTGTCTCAGGGCCAGAGGACATTACAACCCCATTCTGTGGAAACAGACAGGTCTTTAAAAATAAAACCAGGCAACAACAAAACAAAAAATGTGTCATCACCACAACCTCAGAGAAAAATGGAACGGTAAGGTTATAATCAAGAGATCTCATTTGGCAGAATCTTGTCATCACAGGAAGTGGTCAATTTAATCAGAGACTCAGGCCTCCATCTTCTATTACAGACATTGGCATTTAAGTTGACTTAGAAATGCTTACCAAGGTCAGGGGTCAGGCCAGGCGACCATTTCCTGGAGAAGAGACAGAAAGTTTATTACAAGTCAGTGATTGGTCTGTTAAGTTTAAAGTTTACAGGTTTCTCAGCAACAATGTTGTCCACATTAAAAGTTCAGGTCAGACATTTGTTTAAGACATCACYGAACYAGCAAAAACCATTTTGTATTGTGTCTTTGCATTCTCACCTCGTTCAACCTCGTCTCTGCCGATCAGTCGAACCTCAGAGCGATTAGAACCTGCAGACGTCCGAAAAGCATAAGTTGAGTATGCACATGAAACATGGGGCTGAAGATTTCTACACTGACCAAATCAGATAGAGCTAATATAACAAGACTCCATGTTTTAAGTCAGTCTTATCTAGTCATCACAAGGTCAGTCTACAGGGATCATGAGGTTTACTACATCCAACCAAGATCCAATTAACCAGAGCAGCTCCCTCAGACCCAGATGAGGTGGAGTTCAACCAGCTGGTGTCAGTTTTAAATTCATTTCTCCAATTCTACTTTAGGTTTGACCGACACTTCACAGAAGTTTACAATGTGAGGGAATATCCCAAACTACATACATTTTATTTTAATCAAGTCAAACAAAGACAAGTTAGCAAAAGTCACACTACAACCAGTTCAGTCTTAACAGAAACAAAAGTTTATCCAACAGCAACACAACCACCTGCTGATATGACATCTAAATGGCATGCTCTTCCCCCCCAACTCCACTTGTCATCTGGGACCGAGGTGGTAGAAATATTTTCATACTCACAATGTTTGTGCAACATCTTCTGCACGCACCCAACTGCCCAAGATGCCATTAGATCTGTAAAGTCAGAACAGCTTCTCCTGAGATAATGGCAGAAACAAGCAATTTTATCTCCTGCAACAAGTCAGATCAGAAATCATGACAAATTTCCTCAACTGGATCAGCGACCTGATTCACATTCATCACACTTGAACGTTAGCAACCATTTTGATCTCAACATGATACTCACCATCAAGGCTGGAAATGTAGTCAGTGTTACTGGCGCGAGACCTAGGGGAAATCTGGACTGGCAGCAAGGGTTACACAGGATCATCGGAGTCACCACAGCAATAACAGCTGCTCAACACACAGGCCAGGGAATGAAGAGAAACTAACTTTCTTCATATTGAAGAGATGAAGACTTGACACCGGTTCTATTGAGATCACCTTCAATCACCTCCTCCTCAGCGTATTAAATCAATCTTTTATAACTTCACATCCACATGACGTCACAGTGATGTCCTCGGATACGTCCCCGACAAGGTAAACTCTCGATCAGTCATTTAATATTTTTTAACATTAAAAGAGAGGCTGGAATAAGTAGTTTCACCCCGATGAAGGATCTGGATGTGTAAAGGGGATAATCTGTCATTGGTGCTGTTACTATTAAGCACTTCCATCTATTATGAGACTTAATTAAACAGCATCAAACACCGTGTCCAGGAAATACTCTAAACACAATCCATTGTTTATCGTAACGTAAACGTACCTTTGGTGAAGAGATCCCAGGTGTCTAAACGCATGCCATAAATTATTATTATTATTACGAGTAGTAGTAGTTAGTAGTAGCAGTAGTAGTAATATTAGTACTACTACTAATAATGATAATTCAATTCAACTTCATTTTGTATTTTCTCAAGGCACTTTACATAGAAGGTCAAGACCTTAAAATCACAACAACAATAATAATAATTTATGGTATAATATATAACAACATGTCGATCACCACACTCGTAAATTATTATTATTATTATTATTATTATCAGAATCAGAATCAGAAATACTTTATTAATCCCCAGAGGGAAATTCAAAAGTCACAGCATCGGCATTAATCTAAAACATTTAATACAGGATATTTACTGAATTGTTTAAAATACTTCATATATGATCGGTGCTGTATTTCAATAAACAGTATTTGTAGGTAACATTTGCCTAGAGGCACTTTTTTTCTGTATTTGCTTCAGCAATATAATATTTCAAATTAGGAATGGCGATATAATATGTAGAGGAAGATGGAACATTTATTTTATTTTTATATAACAATCATACGAAAGACTGAAATAGAGACAATTACACGGGGCAATAAATAAAAAATGTAACGATTAAAACTATATATGAGAGAACAATTAAAATAGAATAAAAAACATAAAATAGGTAACACGTGAAAAGTTGAGGGCTCTGCATTCCAGGTTTCACTGGTTTGGTGTTGTTTAAAGAAATAACAATTTTTATTGGGAATTTACATTCTTAAAAGTGCTAAATTGAATCCATTAACACAGAGAACAGTTAATGAGCAAAACGAGTGACTTTATCAATACATTTCATGTGCGGTTACTGCCACCTAGCGGGGACTACTGGTTATCACACACAGACACACACTTTGAAAGCTCCATTCATCCGCTACATGACGTGAGCCCACTGCTCATCAAGTCATTTCAATTCGTAATGATATTGTTTTTTGTTATTAATGTTCCCTCATTCGACTGATT